GGCTCGCAACAGTTCAACGGATCAGGCCGCCGGTGTGACGGCGGAACGATCTGAAGCAACCATATCAATTTCCCTTCTTAGGGAAATTACGAAGATGGAGCAACCTTTTGGCAAACTTCGATCGCTGGCAATGAGAGCAATCTTTCAAGGAAACTACCTAGAGAACAGAAAGCAGGTAATAGACATTATGGCAGGACCGATTGGACACCGAATAGTGCAGACAGTACAACCGGAGCTAAAAGCTCCTTATGTTTTCGTCGGAGAACCGGTCGCTTGGGAAGCTCGCAACGACGAAGGAGTCGTTGGACAGATCAACGTCTACGTACCGGAGGAGCAGTGTTCGGGCCGAAACGGAAACCTGCCGAAACGGAAACCTGCCGAAACTAGTTTCCGTGATTCCGGCGAAGAGGTCCTGGTTCTGCGGAAATGCCGAAACTAGTTTCGGCCCCTTTCGGCTAGCGCCGTACGGCGGAACCTACTTTGAATAGTTTCAAAGTGTAGGCGCGTTGTGCAAGGCTGCGAAACTCTGCGAATGTTGAGTTTATCTTATCAATGTCTCAGACAACTTCCGTTGTCAGTGCAGACACAGATTCGGTCAAAAACAAGGGCGGAAGGACCGCTGATCAGACCGTTTGGGCTCACTTTGAGAAGAAAAAATATAATGCAAAATGTAAGAACTGGACTATCATCTGCAAGTACTGCCGGACCGAGTCCAAGCAAGGGCGCCTTCAGGAGATGCGCGTCCATATCGCGCAAAAGTGCCCCCGGAGTGCCTTCGGACACACATGAGCAGGTCCCATGAGGCGCAAAGGCACATAGGGCCCACGAACAACGTTTGCATACCATGGACGTCATAAAATACAGCATTTACAGGGTTTCGGCAGGTTCCGGCAGGTTCCGGCAGGTTTCGCAGAAGGGTCCAAAAAACGGAAACTATTTTGGCATTGGCAGTAAGGTTTCGGCCCGTACACTGCGGAGGAGTGGATTACGCCCGTAAAAAACTTAGCGGACCATTGCGGACGAATCAATCTAGCAGATCTCCATCTAGGAGATTACCACATTCAAGATCTTGTAGTAGACATAGTGGGGGCATCTGCCCAATACTTCAGACTGACAGGATTACCTCCAGCATTTCCTCAGAAATGCCTATTCTGGCTTATTGCGGAAGCCTACGGCTTTGACGTAGATGAATATGGAAAGAAATGGGGGATAGTCGAAGCTAGTCTCACTACAGCCGTGGTGTGGGTGCGATGGGATCAGCCCGCATTACCCGCCAGGATGAATATTTTCTCCATTGAGGAGGATGGCCGGCGGATTCATAGGGGAGCGTGGAGAGCGCAACACACGTATTACGACACACAGACTCCGGCTTTGCCCCGCCCCCCCAAGATTCAACAACGAAACCGCTTGATACCGAATCTCCCGCCGCCCATTTCGGCGGCGGCAGTCATCGCGGCGCGAGCACGGCCAAATCTAGCGACGCCAGCGGTGGGTGAGGTAGGAGGATCAAGTAATGCACGTCAACCCATGGCTACTGGACAGCCCCAGACAATCCAGCAAACAACTCGACAACAGCAGATGCAAAATCGAGTATCCAACGAGGAGGCAGCAGAAATGGCAGGCAGAGCAGCCGCCGCCGTTGTACGAAGACAAGTACAACAACAGCAGCAACAGCAACAACAGACACAGCAACAACAGACACAGCAACAGCAACAGCAAACACAGCAGCAACAACAGCAACAGCAACAACAACGACAGAACCAGCAACCACAACAGCAACAGCAACAGATACAGCAACAGCCGCCACAGCAGCAGCAGCGACAACAGCAGCAGCTCTCATACACAACCACCAATCAACCGGGACTACCGACATTAGCTTCTATCCCCAAAACTCACTCCATCACGCACCCCTTACTTGGCCAACCGATTCAAGATGTGGCCGGAAATAGGCCAGATGAACAGCAATGGCAATTACAAAACAGACGGACGCATCGTGGAAACCCAATTCTGCCCACCGACCAACCTGTGCTGGGCAAGCATGCGGACAAACCAACGTCACGCACGTCATCTCCAGGGGTCAGTCCCCAACACAAGAGGAGGGACTCGGTAATAAGCCCGCCCAGGTTTCATGTTCTTCCACATGACGACCCGGGTGACCTCATGCAAGTCGGCGAGGAGGAGGAAGTGAGAAATATAGTAGTAGTCCGCGGAAATGGGGATACGGAAATACCCCCTAGGTAAATGGGGCGACGGACAAGATGCAGGAGGCCTAATAATAGACCCCTTCGCATAGCGTCCCATAATGTAGCAGGTTTATTCACGCATTCGGCATTTACTCGTATCCATGCTGCGGCTAGAGTATGGGCCCAACATAGGTTAGATGTCATTTGTTTACAGGAGACACATCATATGGGAGATGGAGACCTGACAATTCTCACTAGAGAATTGCAATTCGCGGCT